AAACAGACAATAACTCAGCCCACCTTGCGGGCTGGGCGGGCAGCCTGTTTGATCTGCTCCCAGGCCAAGATGCCGGTATCCCAGGGAGAAATCTGAAAAGGAACTTCCTGTGTTAAGTTAATTCTGAGTATTCAAAGACTACTTAACAAGTCTGCACCCCCAGCCCTTAGTCAGATTCCTAAAAATCCTTAAAAGGGGAAACCCCCAACCTTTCAGGGCACTCCTCTCTCTGAGGTCACCCGCACTTTATAAGTATGTAACGTTATAATCTTAAATTTCTCTCTCTAACATTTCGGGGCACCTCCTTGCTGAGGTTGCCTTCTGCACTTCTTCTCTCTTTAAGTAACTTTAAATAAAGGTTTTACTCTGCTTCACTACTGTGTCTCTGTGTTGGCAGCCGTGCTCAGAAAATAGCGCCCCATGCAGGGCAGCCGGAAGGCCCCGAACTTCCTAATGACAAATCATCCCACACCACTAAACTACATGCTAATTGCGCCTTGGCATAAGGACCAATGAGACCCACCAAATGGTTATGCTAATAAGGCATATGGAGCCGCACCAACCAGGTCAGAGCATGAGAACTATATAAGCAAGCCTCTCCTTCCCCTCTGGGTCCTGCCCAACTCATTTGTTTCACAAAGAGCTGAAGAATAAAGCTTTCTGCAGAAGAATCCTGCTGTTGTTGCGTGCTGTTCTTGCCGGCGAGGACGGGGCGCGCGACATCTCTGCCCTTCAATTCTTTGTCACAGCAGGGGAAAAGGACCGAGGAAACACACAACGCTCTGCCAACACATCTATTGATATGGAGAGGCCAGGCTGCGAGAGATTCTGGAAATATTGCAATTTTACCCACATTGCCCAGGGCTGGGAGACCTTGACTACAAAGGGGCAGCACATGAGAATTCTGGGGGCTGATGGAGCAGTTCTGTGTCTTGATTGTAATTGAGACAGGGACCGTGGGTGTAGTCAGAGTAGGGTGAGGGCCTCCGGAAAAAGCAAGACAAGATATCCGCAGTCAGAGCAATTGTCTCGCCAATGTGTTTCAGCCCCAGGGAAGTTTGCTATGGATTCAGTGTGACCAAAGAAAATGACAGCAAAATGCTCTTGGGGTGAAAGGGTTATACCCAACTTTATTTCCAGGTGGCAGGTCAGTCATTAAAATCCCGTTCACTCAGAGCAAGTCTGCATGTAGCAAGCCGGTCTCTGCCTCTCGGCCCCTCTGTCCGCATAGCCGTCCCACCCAGCCATCCTCCAGGCCTCTCTGCACAGCCGTCCTCTGGGCCTCTGTCCTTGGCACTGCCACCACTCCAGCCTCTGCTCTGCTCTCCTGCAGCCTTGCAGCCCTGCCACAGTGTCATGCCCAGACCACTGGGCGGAGCTCTTTTTATAGAGTCAACAGGCATGTATTGCCAACAGGTGTGCAGTGAACTAGTCAACCAGGGCCAGGTGAGAATCCTGGCCACAGGAACTCTCATTTTATCCACAGCAATGTAACTACATGCAAGGACACTCCTACTAAAACTCTGTGTTAAACATTCAGCTCTAGAGTCATTCTTCAATGAGATCAGTTAATATACCCCAGATAAAGAAGAGTAGCACATGTTTATTTTATGCTAATAATTTATAATCATGTGTAAGATTCGCTTTAACATGCTAAAAGGCCCAGGCCTATGTGCTGTCTTTCCTCCTTCAGATCTGATGAAGTGATTTTGCAAACTAGGCAAACTAATTTAGCATGCAAGCCCAGCCATAACACAGTAAAGGGCAAGAAGGATTCCACCTTAAAGATAAGATAGCACTTAACTTACTCTGTAGCAAACAATACCTCAGCCTACCTTGGGGGCTGAGCAGGTGGCCTTGTTTCATATGCCCCCAGACCAAGATGCTGGTATCTCAGGGAGAAATCAACAGAGCAGGAAGTTACTTGTATCAAGTTAATTCTAAATATCCTAGGACCACTTAATAAGTCCACACCTCTAAGCTTTTTTTCATGTTCTCGAAAAATCCTCATCTGCCTATAAAACCCCCTAGACAACGTACCACTACGGACTCTCTTGTCCCCTTGTGGCATGTTCCAGGAGCTCTGTCCTTTCACTTTATCTCTAAATAAAAACCTGTACCTTGCTCTCCTACCTTGAGTGTTTGTGGAGCTCATTCTTCAGCTTCATGAACAAGAACCCCGGCATCATCTTGATAGTCACACAAATCTGTACATGTGTTAAAACTCCTAGAACTCTACACCAAAGCAAGGTAATTTTACTGTACATAAATTGCTAAAAGTGTAGAAGTGGAGTTTGTCATTTAAATGTGTTGAGTTTAGTCCTAGGTCTCCAGATAGGTATTAGAGATGTATCATTCTGGATCATATCATCACATGGACCATATCTTAGTGTTGTAAAGTTACCAGCAACAAAGAAACTAAAAGTACCATGTGACTACCATGAAAAACCATTGAAATTTGCATTACCATAACCTGGTAATGGGAGCAAATTAACTTCTGTTATGTGACATATGTATCCCCAGCATAGTTCCTGATATAGAGGAAGTATTCAGTAAATACTTATGGAATGAATAAATGACTGAGTGAATGAAGGAATAAGGCTCATACATTCAAATATGAAACCTTCCTGCTTCAAACATCACTAATAATTTTGAAGCAGAATGGAAGGATACTTACGCATAACCTAAAGTTAAATACCGTGTGCCAAAGGATAAAAATGCAAAAATTGTGGAAGCCACATTTTATGGTGTTGTATTTAATTGCAAAGGTTAGAGCCACTGAAGTCATTGTTGACACGCTTGCCAAAATTGCTGCTAAAGACATGGAACAAATAATGATTAGGGACAAAGCAAGTGTCTCTGTCAAATATTGCTGTTCACTTTAAAATTACAGATGTGGCTAGAAACTCAAAAAGAGAAATATGCTGTTTCAAAGAGGCAGATATTATTCACTGCAAATTGATGAATCCACTGATCTTGTGAATTCAGCTAATCTTTTGCTATTTATCATATAGGATCTAATAAATAATTTTATGAAGACATTATGTTCTTCTAATCTTTTCCAAATTATACAACTCAAAAAGAGATTTCCTTCCTCCTTTCCTTCCTTCCCCCTGCAGGAGACTTAGCTTTCCTTAGATGTTTAGCAAATGAGTGACACTCTCAGTGAGTAAAATATTAACACACCTTGTTATGTTAGCACATTATCATGAAAAGACAGAAGGCAGCAAATATATACTTAGTGGTTACTCGTTTGACTGTTCCATGTACCTGTCATGAAAAAAATGTGCCTTTTTACCTTCCAGGTTAAAGTAGACCATCAGTTGAAGATCTCTCCTGGCCCACAGCAATGAAGACTAAAATGACTCTTCTGGCCTCTGGAACATTCGAACATTTCATTCGAGCTGAACACAATAGAATTGTAGTGCTAAAGAAAAGGGTTTACCCAGTTCCCAAGGTGGGTGCAGTTGAAGCTCTCATACAAGATGCCTTAAAACAAAATGAAAACAATACAAAACTCAGCTGAGGCAATCTCCATACAGTGGGGTTATCGTATTAACTGTTCCATTCCTGGGGCAGAGCTCCCTGTAGGAGCTTTAGGATCTAGTCCTGTTGTCCAACAGTTTTTTAGAACTGAACTGGTACCTGAAGGTTTCCTTATTGTAGTCTCCAGATTCCAGTTCAAATGCTCTTAAAGTCCAGTGTCCTCTGGTCTTCAGACTCACAAATCTACTTTCTCCAGCCTCCCGTGGCTGTGAAATTAGCTGACAATAAGACAAGAGAACTCACAAAACATGAAAAGTCAGCATTCCCCAATCACTGAGAGCAGAGCAAGGCTTCTGTAACTAGAAGTCCTCTCAGTCTAAACCCTGCAATGCCTTTAAGAAAGGCTTCCTTTTATCATCACGTGTGTTGATAAATGTAGAAACGATACAAGCCTAAAAGTAACTGTGTACTTGGGATGTCTTTAACAGACTCCTGACTGCCCCTTTCCTTTTCATTATTATTACTGATGTGACTTTTTAAAAAGACTGAAATTTGGAAATTTTTTTAACTTATCAAATCCTTCTTCAATTCTAGACAAGTCATTCTTAGCCCTTCTTTGCCTCTCCTGTCCTCTTACCTTACAGAACCATTGAAAATATCCTACTCTAGTTACACACTACAGTCATAGTGGACCTGTGGTGTCGCTGTTACTGGATGTTGGCATAAAACCCACCTAGATTTGAATCCTGACTGCCTTTAGCAGCTGCATGACCTAGAACAAGGTAATGTCTGTCTTGGTTTCCTTTTCCACAAAATAGTATCTAATCATAGCTAACATATATAGTGCTTATAGGTATCATTTCTCATGTAATCCTTATAATAACCCCTATTGGAAAAAAACTATAGATGAGGCAACTGAGGCAGAGAGGTTGAGTGACATCCCAAAGATCACACAGCTCGTAAACTGCTGAGCCAAGATTCTAAGAAGGTTCCAGATTCCAGGCTCTAACCACACCTACAGCCTCTCCAAATGAGGGCAATAAATGAGGACACACTTAAGAGTTGTTCTTAGGGCTGGGATAATGTACATAAAGTCCAAAACTTGACACATGTCTGATAGGTAACACTATGCTATAGAAGGTTTTTCCCTTCTCCACTGCAAAATCTGCAAGGCTTTTAATTGGAGCAGAACAACTGAGCTCAGAGGGAACAGAAGCCGGGCCAGGGAAGGTACAGGGCGAGGTGTAATGTGAATAGGGAGAAAAGGGTAAACAAGAAGAGAGGCAGAAGGAGCGCCGAATACTTCGGAAAAAGAAGTCTAGCTGGCCAGGCCTTGAGAGAACTTGGAGACTCTCTCTACTGCAAACAAAAACTCGCCAACTGAACAGCATACATTAAACCCGCCAGGCCGCAGACCCAGGGGCGGACCTCCTCGACTCCACCCTCAGCCCCGAGGCCGGCTCGGGCGTGGTCCCGGCTTCCTGCCTGGGCCGCTGGCCCGCCCCCTCCGCCGAAGCCCGGCCACCTCCGGCCTGAGCCACGCGGTCTCCCAGGCGGGCCGGGGCTCGGGCCCGCAAAGCGCGATGGTGACTTGGCGGCGGGACGGCCGGCTGACGGGCAGCCAACGGCTGCTGTGCGCCGGGCTGGCGGGGGCGCTGAGCCTCAGCCTCACCGCGCCGCTGGAGCTCGCCACCGTGCTGGCCCAGGTCGGCGTCGTGCGGGGCCGCGCCCGGGGGCCGGGGGCCACGTGGCTCCGGGTGTGGCGGGCCGAGGGGCCCCGGGCCCTGTGGAAGGGGAACGCGGTGGCGTGCCTGCGCCTCTTCCCCTGCAGTGCCGTGCAGCTCGCCGCCTACCGCAAGTAAGAGCTGGGCAGGGCGGGGCCGGGAGGCGGGAGGCAGCCGCGGGGGTGGGGGGTTCCGCGGCCTCCCGAAGCCCAGGCCCCGGGGGGGCGAGCCCCAGGCCCCTTCCGGATCGCGTGGGACCCCTCGGGACAGTTTGGCCAAAAGGCGACGCCTACCGTTCCCAAAGAGCAGTCCCCAAGTTTTTCACAGTCTTGGGATTACTGCCCCGCCAGGTGCAGTTTTTGTAGGAGCACAGCCCTGGCTCAGAGAGGCTTATCCGGTTGCCCCAGCGAGAAGGTGGAATGGTGCAAAAGAAGATTTGCGGGGAGGGAGTGAAGGGATCTGCAGAGAGATGGCTCCTGACCATTCCCATCATTCACCAACTTAGAAATTTTGCCTTGGCTGGCTGAGAAGAGAGACCCTTTTGAAGGTGTGTGTATGCAAGTGCGTTCATGTGACCAAAACCCCTAGAACGTGCTTGGTATTGGGGAGAGGTACCAATCTATGGCCACAAAAAGGCCACAGGTTTCTGCAGCACTGCCCCGCTCCCACCACCCCCAGTGAAACTTGTCTTTAGGGTTCAACGCAGGCTGAAGCTTCCCCTCCCTAAGCTGCAAACAGCCACCTCAGCCTACTACTGCCTCACCCCATTCTTTGGGCTTTTTCACCTTCTTACAACAGCTGCTTCTCAGGAAAGGATCTAAAGATTGCAAATGCTGGATGACTCCTAAAGGTTCCTCAGAGCTCAGAGATATTTACATTTTAACTGAAAATAAAGCCTAGTGAAATGGTAGTGATGGCATTTCAGGAAGAGATGCTTCTGTACTCAGGGGATGGTCCCTGTGTTCCTCATTCAGTGGGCACAGCACCAACCCTGAAGACTGGCCTTGGCACTGAATTAGACAGCCCACAGTCCTGACCACATTGATCCAACCTTGGAGGCTAACTAACCATTAAAGAATTGCCTTCGGCCCTGGGAGGCCAGACCTGGAAGGCTTACCTGGCAGATAACAAGCCGGATGGGGTCATCCTGAGTACTCAGGGACTGAGTCCTCACTCATTTCACCTAAGCCTGGGAGCAGAGTTCTCTCCCTCTGGGGAGGGAATGTGGTGACCTTGTGGGGCATTTCAAGGCCCTCTTTCCTCCTCAGCAACATCTGGCCTGCAGTCTGTAAACGGTTCTCTGAGTTTTAATAACTCAGTTTCTCCCCACTTCACTCTGCTCTCCAACGTGGTATGGAAATCTTTCTTTGGAATGTGTACCAAGCAAAGGGAGGCAGAACTTCGAAGGCTGGTTTAAGTATTGTGGCTTTTCTCCTAACCACCTAGTATATGTACATCACTGGATTTTTTAACAGCTTTACTGAGGTACCCTTGACATACAAAAATTGTATATATTTAAGGTGTACAACTTGATGTTTTGATATACATAGACATTGTGAAATGATGACCACAATCAAGCTAATTAACACACCCATCACCTCGACCTAGTTACCGTTTTTTGTGTGTGTACATCTTTGGATTCTTACAACTCCTGCCTCCTGCCCTGTAAGGTCCATAGGATAAGAAGTATTAAGGCCATTGTACAGATGCAAAACTGGGCTCAGATGGGCCACAACATTGTCGGTAACAGAGCTGAGAGTTCCACCACCTGGTCTCTAAATCCAAATCCCGTTCTCAATGGCATCATGTTACCTTTCTCTTTACATTCATTTGACATTCATTTAGTGAGGCTTCTTTAAGTACTCACTGTGTGCATGCAGCTAGGGAAAATGCAAGGATGAAGGGAGCATGGTCCCTGTGCCTCAGAGCTTACAAAATGATAGAAGAATAAGACTAGTGTGTCTGTAGCATGTCATTGCCATGGGTGAAATACTGTAGAAATTTCACAGTCCTGGTGAGGGATAAGGAGAAGATGTTAAGACTTCATAGAGGAAGAAAAACATCTGAGTTTGGTCTTAGGAGAATGAGTAGGAGTTTGCTGGGCAAAGATGGGGAAAAAGATATTGTAAGTAATGTCTTGAGCAAAGACCCAGAGGTGGGAAGGTATGCAGCGTGACGGGAGCATGGTGTGTCTACAGCAGTAAAGGGAAATACAGGTTGGAATCAGATCTTGGAGGGGCTGAGTTAAAGAGTTGGGACTGGGTATGCAAGGGTAGCTGTGGTCTGTTTTTGAGCGGGAGTGCTGTGATTAAAGCAGTTCAACAGGAATTACTGTCACCTGGTGGCAGGGTAGGATGACCAGAGAGGGGGAACACCGGGGATGGCAGGACCAGTTAGGAACCTCTTGCACTAGTCCGTGTGGCAGCTGAGAGCACTTTAAGTAAGCTGGTGACAGTGGGAGTGGAGAAGAGATTTTTGGGAGAGGAAGAACAGATAGTTACCCCTGCTAGGTTTTCTAATAATTTTTTCCTACAAGATAAGTTTCTTTCTGGAAACTAGAAGTATTTCAGTGAATAGCCAGGCAGAAAACAAAGTGGTTAATTAATCATGGTGCCACCCTTCCTACATAAAAACGATACCTTTGGTCCATCATTATACTGATTTATCTCCATTTACTGACCATGAATTGCAAAACAGTTGGCTGGGGGTAATGGTATGGCCTGTGATCATGTATATGAACAAAGTGTAAACATTCAGAATGTTCAGGGAATGGAGTGGTTAAATGACTTGTCCACCAACACAATTAATGGCAGAGTCAGAGCTTGAAACCACGTCATCTGACCCCTTAGTCCAGGGCTCTGCCCACCCTTGTGATGCTGAGATGTCTGCTTCCTCAGATTTATGACTGAGAACCCACTCAGTAGAGTCTGTTAGGAGCTAGATCCTTGTAATAAATAATATACCTAACACAAAGGATGGCTTTCAAATGCATCAAATAGTAGACCTTCGCCCAGCTTTACTCCACAGCTGCTTAGCCAGCTGAATAAACCTTGGTTTGGGTCCCTGCAGCTCTGAAATTGTTCATAACCAACACCTTTTCCTTATTGTGTAACCACTTCTTGAGCTTGTGTTTGGCTGCTGACTTGTGTTAAGGTGTACAACTTGATGTTTTGATATACATAGACATTGTATATATCAAAGTTGAAGTGTTGGCAGTTCCAATTACATATATCCAGGGCATGTGTAATATCCGTGTAGCTGAAAGGAAAGGGTTACTGCTGTTCACCAGCTTATCCAGTCTCACTGGAGAAGCTTCTGTGCCTGAAAGTATGGGGCGGGGAAGAGCAGAACAGAAACCCTGCTGCCTCAGCCAGCCGGACAAGAGCTTCAGATACAGAGACCAGGACATCATTGAGCCTGTCGGGGCTGCCTGCCTTGACTCTGTGATTCTAAGGGGAAGGATTAGTGGTCCTTGTCTCTGTATCAGACGGTAAGAGTCTGAGAGGAAAGGACTTCCTTTGGTTCATCTTTTTAATTTTGCATATTTGATAGTAAGACCCTACTTTATGAAACAAGTATAAGACAGGGTTCCTCTTCGTAGTTCATCAAGTCATTCAGTGAACCAAGGGCCTATTTCCTTTCCTGTTGTCCCTATCAAACACTTCTTTGGCAGGACTATTATTGAACTCTTTTATGATCTATGCTGAGTGCCAGTACAGTGTCTGGCACATTGTAGATGTTCAATAAGTGCGTAATGAATGAATAAATGCCCTGGAAGCCATCCAGTAGGATAGGGAATGAGGCAGTGAGAAAGAACAGTGTTTCTTTTGTCATTTCAGTCCCCACCTTCTTCTAGGTTGGTCCAGCTTGCTGCAGACCACCCCTCCTGTCAAGCATTTCCTCTGTCTCTCTTGCCTCTCCTAAGGCTTCCTTCCCACTAGACTGGCCAAGGCAGAGAGGAGGGAGGAGCAAGGAAGTGTGCAGGCAGTGAAACTGAAGCAAATGGCCCATTGGTAAATGCCGGCTTTAGTTATCTGCATCCTTAAAACGTAGCTAGTTAACTTAAATGACTGTCTCGGTGCAGTTAAGGTAGACTGACAAAAAGTAGATTGACAAAATGATGTCAAGACTTCCTTACCACTTGAAGATGTTTTTAATCAATGATTGTTTACTTGGGAGCAGAGGAGCCACCCTAGAACCCATTAAATGATTTCACCTGAACACCCACTCATCTTATTTATCATGCAGATGGACGGCCCTAGCTTACTGCCAGACAGAAGCAGGACATGCTCTGCTCTGGAGGCTCAACAGCCAAAGAACTGGGAATGCTCTCATTAAAAAAAAAAGAAAAGAAAACACAGTACTTTTACTAGAGCCTAGCTCTGTTCACTTTCCTTTTACTCAAATAATTGCTGTCCCTCTCCCTCTCTCCACCCCCTGGCAGAAAAATTTATATTTTTCTTGGTTTCCAAGACCTTTTTTATTTTGTCCTCATCAGCAAAAAGTAAAATTCCATTGCTTCCTGGCCAGGGAATGTGTACCATCTAAATTCCCCTTATAGTAATTTCTGCCGTGGTAGGCCCTCATGACTAGGGGTGCACTGCTTCCAAAAGAGGGACTGTAACAGAGTGGCTGTTCTGCATTTGGAAAAGTCCACCCAAAGCTATTTTTTACTATTGTAAAACTGCAGAGAAACACAAGAACAGTCTAGCAAACACTCATATACCCACCATCCAGAATTGATGGCATGAAAGATAATTAGTATAGAAGATATTTTTAATAGGAGGAGTATCTTTTTTTAATATAAGAAATACAGTATTACACAATTAGCATGTATAGTGTAGGGGGCACGGGGAGGGCTGTGCAACACAAAGACAAATAGTGATTTTACAGCATCTTACTATGCTGATGGACAGTGACTGTGAAGGGATATGTGGGGGGACTTGGTGAAGTGGGGAGCCTAGTAAACATAATGTCCTTCATGTAATTGTAGATTAATGATACCAAAATAAAAATAATAAAATAATAAAATAAAATGCTTGTAATGAAAAAAAAAGAAATACAGTATTACAGATAGAGCCACTCTTCTCCTTCCCAGTCCATCCCCTCTCCACTTTCCTGGAGGTATATTTTATACTGTTTTTTTATGTTTCTGTATCTATCCATGAATAACGTATGGTTTTCTGGGTGCATTTCTTAAACAGATGGTTATCATACAGTATAGGTCACTCTACAACTTACTTTTTTCACTCAGCCTTATGATTTTATGACTTCTCCACACTAATACATTGTTCTAAGCTCATTCATTTTAACTAAAGTATCCATTGTATGACCATAGTACAATTTATCCATTCCCCTAGCAGTGGACATTTAGGTTGTTGGACTTTCTCTACTTACAAACCATGCTTTCTGGGTCTTCGTATGTACATGTGCAAGAGTTTCTCTAGAGTACATACCTAGAAATGGTATTGTTGGAGTGAACGTAGGCATTCTTTCTGTTTTACTAGATACTGCAAAGTGACTGCACCAACTTACACCCCTACCAGCAGTGGGTGAGAGTTCCTATATCCATACATCCTCACCATCACTTGACATTATCAGACTTTTTAATCTTTGCCAATCTGCTAAGTTGGAGATGGTATCTTGTTACTGCTTTTATTTGTCATTTTATTTGATAACTAACAGGGTGGCACATCTTCTCTTATAATTATTAAGCCAGTACATTTTTAAATTCCTGGGAATTCTGAAAGTCATCGTTTCAAGCAACTACATTTCTTTTAAGTTTCAGCAGGACCAAGGAGCACATTCCAGTTTGGTATTTACTGTTACTTGGTTCAGAACAAGTCCTTTTGTTCCTTTATGCCCCACAGGCAAGCCAGGATTGACAGTTACACAGATAAAAGGGGGAAATGCTTAAAATGAAGGGGGAAGAACTTAGGGTAGATATAAAGACAAGAGTTGGGTGTCTCTTATAGGTAAGTAGAATTATATAAATATAGTAGAATTTGTTGTTCATTAATCCTAATACATTAGTATAGTAATTTTCACTTTGTAAAGCATTTCCAAATGCTGGAAAATGTTGCAAGAAGTAGTGTGGTGCACTCTAGTACAATCCATAGTTGATTCCCTTGTGCTTTTCCCCCTATTTTCTCCCAGGTTTGTCATGCTGTTCACTGATGACTTGGGCCATATTTCCCAGTGGAGTTCCATCATGGCTGGGAGTCTTGCAGGCATGGTTTCCACCATTGTGATATATCCTACAGACCTCATCAAAACCCGGTTGGTTGTACAGAACATGCTGGAACCATCTTACAGGGGGATCCTCCATGCTTTTTCTACTGTTTATCAACAGGAAGGATTCCTGGCCCTTTATCGAGGAGTTTCCCTTACTGTTTTAGGTAAAATGGAACTTTTCATCTTGTCCAAGAAAAAGCTGTGTTCTTTTATATTAATGAATGTGTTGTATACCTTTGTAACCAACTAAATCTGCTTTACTGAGTTCATGGTCATATGAATTCAATCCATATAGAGCCAGTTAGCTTCATTCTATTCCATAGCCACACACCCCACTCCTAACTTTGGCCTGTCCCATTCCAGGGAAGAGAGGAGGACAGAGAGTGGAGGTGGCTCAGCACAGACTGATGGGACAGCAGTCCCACATGCTCCCCATCTGCCTGCAGGCAGGAGCACAAGTAGTGTAGCAACTGTAGTTCTCTGGTCTTTGGAAGCTTTGCCTGGGCTACACACGCACAGGCCACCTGGTACCCCTGATTGCCAAATCCAGCAGATCACCCATTATGTGATCTTTGTTGTGGCATTTGATGAGATTGATCACCCCTTCTTCTGGAAACTTGGTCTAGGACGCCACTGTCTCCTGGATATCCTTCCCACCTCTCTGGCAGCTCTCTTACCTGGTTCATCTGACACTGCCAGCCTCTACATAGCACTGTTCCCTCAGATCCTTCCTTAACTTTCTTTTCATCCTCCACACTCTAGGTGGCCTCATCTAAGCTAGTGGCTTAAACAAGCATCATTATACTGTACTGACTCCCAATCCCATCTCTACAATAGCAATGACTAACATTTATTGGTTTATTGGTGCTTGCTCTGTGCCAAGCGCTTTGCATAGTTTCCCATTTAAGCCTCATTTTACAGACTAGGAAATAGATACTTAGGGAAGCTAAGGGACTTGCCCAAGGTCATGTTGATAGAAAGTGGAAGAACCTAGCAATACAACCCAAGAGCCCTGTCTCTTAACCACTGACTGCTACCAATTCCTGATGGCAGTAGGAATACCTGCTATTGGACACCTTTACCTGCTGCTTCCTGGGATACCAAACTCACGACTAAACATGATGACCTCATTAGTTTAACACCTGCTCTCCTCCTGCATTCCCTGATGAATGAGACTGCCTTTCTTTCACCCACTGGCCTAAGCCAGAAGAAACCGAAAATCACTTAACTCCTCCTCTCACTCCACTCCCACTTCGGCCATCAAGTGCTGTCATTTGGCCTCTTTTAACCCTCAATCTGTCCCTTGTTTATCCCTCCCTCCTCTGCCCTCATTCATGCTCTGAACCTCATCTTTCCTGCAGACACTTACAAGAGGCTCCTACTTGTGCCCAGTCCCAGGTCTCCCATGCTACTGCTGCCAAGCATCGTGATCTTTCACCAGCCTCATTCCATTGCCCTCTTTAAAAGCCTTCACTGACTCTTGAGCTGCAAGGAAAAGCCCAAATTCCTTATGGTGCACCAGGTCCTTCAGACCTGGCCTGGCCAGCCCCACTCACCCAGCCCACCTCATATCCTGTCACACCTGCACCTGCACTCATGCTCCAGCCAAACAGAAACATGTGCTTTTCCTGGAACCACTACTCCCTTTGTACATGCTGTTCCCTCTGCCTGGACTGCTTGTCCACTCTCCCAAGGTCTGATGAACGCCTACTCATTCCTCAAGACCTAGTTGGAAAGTTCTCTCTCCTGCGAAGTCCTTCCTACTTTACCCAGGCGAAATTGATCTCTCTGATCCTCGTGTACCTAAAGCGCCCCCATTATGGCACATATCTGCTGTCTGTCTCCTCCACTAGATGGTGAGTATCTCCAGGAATTAGCCTACTCCTCTTTGTATTCCTGGCACCCGGCAGAGGGCCCAGCACATTGCAAACCTCCACAAAAGTTTGCTAAATAAAGGCAAGTGGGGGAGTTGATGCATCATTTTTCATGTGCTTATTAAATAAATGTTATGTTTTTCTAAGATAGGCAACCCCACTTGTGTTATCCCCTCTTTTAAAAGGGGATAGCAGTCCCTGTGTAAACTTAAGATGGCTCCCAAAGTTTCCAGAAACTTGTGAAAGTACTACCTACTGCACTTCTTGCTCGCCATCTTTATCTAGAAAGATGAGGATCTCACACAGCACATATGGCCACGCCATTGCCAAAGGCAAGTCAAGTAAGCTCCCTCACCACTACAGCCTCACTTTGCAGTTGCCAGAGAATGTTTCCTTCTCAGCTGAAGACCAGCCCCTCCTAGCCTCCAAAACCTAAGTGCCTCCCACTAACTTTTTTCTTTATGGGACTGAATTTTTCCCCAACAGCTATGTTTTTAGATTTCAAACACCCAGAAAAGTAAAAAGAATTGGAAACACCCATACACCCACCATGTACATGCTACCGTGAACATTTTGCTTTATCACATATCTATCTATCCTTCTAGCCATTCATCAGTCCATCTCAAGTATTTTTTTATGATTTCCATGTAAGTTGCAAACATCTAAATCCTTCACCCCTCAGTCCTTCAACATGTGTATCAATCAACCAGAGTTCAATATTTGTTTATGATTCTTCTTAAAGTTAAATTTACATAGGGAATCTCACAGCTGTGGATTCCCAGCAGAGTTGGAGACCCTCCAAGGACAATATGAAGAGGATCCACAGGATTGGAATGGCAGCATCACATTGACCTCGCTGTCTGAATGACTATGGAGGAGGTCGCCCCACCAACCTGCCATACCTGCCAGCATTGAGCAAAAAGCAGAGTTGGCCAAAAAAAGCCAGGCCAGGCCAAGACTGGGGCAGGAGAGTCATCCAAGCCGCTTGGTCCCCAGTGACAGCCTTGAACGGGCTGGATCATGCCCAGCTTACAAGTGCACACAGGAGGGTGGCCCCAGAGTTGCAGGGGAGGTGAGCTGCTTTCAGAGGCCATCCCAGTTAGAGACCCATCAGGCTGCTTAGAGGATGCATTCCTATGAAACAGTCCCCCAGCAGAGCTTATAAACCACAGCTGTTTCTGTGCTTGGTTTACTTATAGACCCAGAATAAAGGAATAAACTGTCAAAAAACATTTACATACTGAGAAGTACATAAACCTTTAATGAACCATTCTATGCTTTTCGACAAATAACACTACCCCTATCAAAATACAGCACATTGTCATCACCCAAGAAAGTTCCTTCCTGCTGCTCCAGTTGGAGTGATTTTACCAAGCACAGAAGCAGTCCTGTTTACTTCCCCTGGATTCTCCACAGACATTTAGGTTCTCAAGCCTACATTATGGCGACAAACACCCAGTCTTCCTGGCCTTGTTTTGCAGGTGCTCTCCCCTTCTCTGCTGGCTCCCTTCTCGTTTACACGAACCTGGAGAAAATCTGGAATGCACCCCAAGATCGGTTCTCTCTCCTCCAGAACTTTGCCAATGTCTGCCTGGCTGCTGCAGTGACCCAGACCCTCTCCTTTCCCTTCGACACAGTGAAGAGAAAGATGCAGGTGAGGCATTATGTTGGGGGGGGGGTCCTCAGGTAGGGAGGATGCCTGGAAGTGTTTGTGGGTGGGTAACAACAGCAAAGAACACCAGCCATCAGTGATGCCAGGTTTCCAGGGAGCCTGTGACTGCTCAGACATACCGTGCAAACCCCCACTCTGTGGCATTTGAGCTGTGAACCTCAGGGCTTTGGCTTGAGCCCAAGCTGCCACCCCATTCCACACTCTTGCTTTTGCAGGTCTGTTTTCAAAGCCTCCAGATGAGGCCCACTTTTCTTCCTCTCTTGCTCATAGTTGCCACCACCCATTAAATGGGAGCAGCCTCCTAACTCTCCCTCCTCTCCTGCGCCTTCCACAGGGAGGGCATGCCCTCCAGCTTTCTTCAGAGCTGCTTCTTCCCCTCAGTGAAACAAACTCAAAAGAACCAAATGGCCCAATAGTCCCTGACTTCCTTGCTGAGGAAATAACTGCATTTGAGGTGGGTCTGGTTCTTACTGGGATTGGCCCTGCATTTCCTGTTACCTGGGAAAACAGATTTTCTCTGCAGACCACAGGGCTAAAGCCTGGGGCAGAGGTCCTAAAGTGAGTAATTGGCTTAGCCTAGAGACAGCCAATTTCAGTAAAGCCAAGTAAGGTCACAGGTAGGTCGGCCGAGTGGGGTGAGCTCCGAGTCAAGCACGATGAGGCTCCAAATCTGCCCTTAGCCCTGCTCACTGTCCACTATTCTCCCTTAAAACTCCACGTCCACAGGAAAAAAAAATTTTTTAATACCACCACATCCCCAGGCTTGCCTGCCTCTCTGGTCTCTTCTTGGTAAATCTTGATTCCTACAATTGATATATTCCTAAAGAGCTGCTTTGGTATTTAATTTGGGGTCAGTTGAATCCAAGTTTAAATAATCAGGCCCAGCTGGGTTTGTTTTTCTGCATGTCTCTAACTTGTTGATGTGTGGGCTCAGTGGCCACCAGGTTCCCCTTGCAGCTTGCTGGGCTGGGCTGGACTGGGCTTCACTTACCTCAGCACCAAAAAGCCTGCAGGTACTTATCTCAACCTATAAAGAAAAGCTGCCTTCAGAATAATACACATCACAATTACACCCAATTCTTTTGCTCCAATCCATCCAACTCTTTGTCTGTCTGGGTTATATTCCTTCTTAGTCCTTTGTCCAAAGAAATAATTGTCACATTATTGTAATCTAGATACAAGTTTAAAGCTTGGTTAGTGCCTGCTTATTTGTAGAAAACATTTTTTCCTAATTTTAAAAGTAATGCACATACACTTAAAAACAGTTAAAATGGGACAGACATTCAAGATGGCGGCATGAGAAGTGAGATGGAGAATTCCTCCCAAAACCACAGATAGTATGAAAATGTAGTTAATTGATACAACTAACCCTAAAACAAGAAAGAAGGCTGAACCAGACTGCACACAGACCTCACAAAACAGGGTAATGTACAAAAGCCTTAATCACTTGGGACCCAAGCCCTTCCCCCACCCCAGCTCACCTGCGTGAGGAAGAGAAATGGAGCAGCGGAGGGGGTGGAGGCCTGGGACTGCTGAATACCCAACCCTGGAGGTTTACTTCGGGAGCAGAAACCTACACTGTATGCTGCTCTGGACCTTGGGGAGCTCAGACAGGTAGAGTGCTTGAGAGACAGATTGCAGCCATTTGTGGAGAAGGGGATCCACACCTGGCCGCTTTGGAAGAAGGGAAAGGCAGGCAGTCTGAGAGGCTTCCTAGCAGCTAGAGGGCAGCTGAAGGAGTGGGGTTTGCACAGAGCTTGCTGCATGGAGGAGGGGAGAGCTAGACAAGTTTGTCTGGGCTGCTCTGCCCAGCTGGTTGAGAACTTCAGTCACTCCATCCACCTGGCTGCCTACTCAGCTCCGAGGCCCCCCACTGTGACATGTAGCCTGCTGCACCTTCCTCCTAGCCTGCCAGCACCGGTTCACAAACCTGCAGTCACTGTGCTGGCATCAGGCCAACCAGAGGGAAGCCATGCCTACAACAGCTAGAGACACAAAGCACAGAGGCTTACACCTGTGTGCTCGGCCCACTGGCTCTGACACTGGAGACAGGCACCACAGACGGGAATCTGGAAACATATCTTTCTCCCCCCAAGAACCAGTTCCGCTCCCCTACGACACCCAACCTCACTCTAGGGGCTGAGCACCTCCTGAAACTGGAGCTTCTAGGCACTAGAGGGCACCACACAGAAATATGAAACGTCAAAAGAACATGATTCAGACCAAAATCTCACAAACCCCAGAAAAAGGGCCTAATGAAACTGAACTCACCAATCTGCCTGAAAGAGAGTTCAAAATAAAAATCATAAACATGCTTATGGAGGTACAGAAAAATATTCAAAAACTCAGGAACGAATTTAAGTCGGAGATTCAATCATTAATAAATTCCATATCTGAAATGAAACATACAATGGAGGAATTTAAAAGCAGATTAGATTTAGAAGAAGAGATGGTAAATGGAAAAGAAATTAGAGAAAAGGAATACAAAAAAGCTGAGGCACAAAGAGAAAAAAGGATCTCTAATAATGAAATAATATTGAGAGAATTGTGTGATGAATCCAAACAGAAGAATATTCATATTATAGGGGTACCAGAAGAAGAAGAGAGAGAAAAAGGGATAGAAAGTGTCACTGAGGAGGTAATTGCTGAAAACTTCCCCAATCTGGGGAAGGAGATAGTCTCTCAAGCCATGGAGGTGCACAGATCTCCCAACACAAGGGACCCAAGGAAGACATCAAGACATATAATAATTAAAATGGCAAAGATCAAGGATAAAGACAGGCTTTTAAAAGCAGCTAGAGAGAGAAAAAAGATCACATATAAAGGAAAACCCATCAGGCTATCATCAGACCTCTCAACAGAAACCTTACAGGCCAGAAGGGAGTGGCAAGATATATTTAATGCAATGAAGCAGAAGGGCCTTGAAACAAAAATACTCTACCCAGCAAGGTTATCATTTAAATTTGAAGGAGGAATTAAACAATTTTCAGATAAGAAAAAGTTGAGAGAATTTACCTCCCATAAACCACCTCTAAAGTGCATTTTGGATGGACTGCTATAGATGGAAGTGTTCCTTCCTAAGGCTAAAGAGATGTCACCCAAGGGATAGACAAAGAGTACAGAATATGATTCATAACACAGAATGGAGGATGAAAAAGTAGGGAAAAAAAAGAACCTTTCAGCTGTGTTTGTAATAGCACACAAAGTGAGTTAAATTAGACTATTAGATAGTAAGGGAATTACCCTTGAACCTTTGGTAACCATGAATCTACAGCCTGCAATGGCAATAAGTATATGCCTATTGATAGTCACCCTAAGTGTAAATAGTCTGAATGCACCAATCAAAAGACATAGAGTCACTGAATGGATTAAAAAACAAGACCCATGTATATGCTGCCTACAAGAGACTCACTTCAAACCCAAAGACATACACAGACTGAAAGTAAAGGGATGGAAAAAGATATTTCATGCAACTAACAGGGAGAAAAAATCAGGAGTTCCAGTACTTATATCAGACAAAATAGACTTTAAAACAAAGAAAGTCACAAGAGACAAAGAAGGACATTACATAATGATAAAGGGGTCTGTCCAACAAGAGGATATAACTTATAAATATCTATGCACCCAACACAGGATCACCTACATATGTGAAACAAATACTAACAGAATTGAAGGAGGAAAGCAGTGCATTACTTTTAGGAGACTTCAACACACCACTCACGCCAAAAGACAGATCAACCAAACAGAAAATAAGTAAAGAGACAGAGACACTAGAACAACATATTAGAACAGATGGACCTAACGGACATCTACAGAACACTCCATCCAAAAGTAACGGGATGCACATTCTTCTCAAGTGCACATGGAACATTTTCAAGAATAGATCATATACTAGGCCACAAAAAGAACCTCAGTAAATTCAAAAAGATTTAAATTGTACCAACCAACTTCTCAGATCACAAAGGTATGAAACTAGAAATAAATTACACAAAGAAAATGAAAAAGCCCACAAACACATGGAGGCTTAATAACATGCTCCTAAATAATAAATGGATCAATGACCAAACAAAAACAGAGATCAAGCAATATATGGAGACAAATGACAAGAATGATTCAACAACAAAATCTGTGGGACGCAGCGAAGGCCATGCTAAGAAGGAAATATATTGCAATACAGGCCTACCTCAGGAAAGAAGAACAATCCCAAATGAACAGTCTAAACTCACAATTAATGAAACTAGAAAAGGAAGAACAAATGAGGCCCAAACTCAGTAGAAGGAGGGATATAATAAAGATTAAAGCAGAAATAAATAAAATTGAGAAGATTAAAACAATAGAAAGAATTAATGAAAGGAGAAGCTGGTTCTTCAAGAAAATAAACAAAATAGATAAACCCCTAGCTAGACTTATCAAGAAAAAAGAGAGTCTACACACATAAAAAACAGAATCAGAAATGAGAAAGGAAAAATCACTACAGAAACCACAGAAATACAAAGAATTATGAGAGAATACTATGAAAAATTATATGATAACAAACTGGATAACCTAGAAGAAATGGACAATTTTCTAGAAAAATAAAACCTTCCAAGGCTGACCCAGAAAGAAACAGAAAATCTGAATAGACCAATTACCAGCAAAGAAATTGAATTGGTAATCAAAAAACTATCTAAGAAAAAAACCCCTAGACCAGATGGTTTCACTGCTGAATTTTATCAAACATTTAGTGAAGACCTAATACCCATCCTCCTTAAAGTTTTCCAAAAAGTAGAGGAGGGAGTACTCCCAAAGTCATTCCATGAGGCCAACATCACTTTAATACCAAAACCAAGGAAAGACACCACAAAAAAAGAAAATTACAGACCGATATCCCTGATGAACATAGATGCGAAAATATTAGCAAACCAAATTCAAAAATACATCAAAAAGATCATCCATCATGATTAAGTGGGATTCATCCCAGGGATGCAAGGAAGGTACAACAT